AATAGAACCATCTAGGAAAGAATGTTTTCTATCTTCAGTTTATATCAGAGTCCCCCACACACTGGACATTTTCAGCAAACTGTGCCATAGCTTCTTCCCACTTCCCCAGAGAAGATGTAAGACCACACTTATGATGTCTCTCATGACATCTGGAGGAAAACAATTCTTTGAAAGTTAAAAGGTCAGGCTGAAATTCCAGAGGGCTGGTACCTAAAAGATGCCAAACACAATGACATAATGCCATAATATGCAAGAATCTATTCTTGGTTTATATTTACATGTTTTTTTTCCAACAATATTAATACTACTTTAAAGATCTTTTTGTTTCACAGGCATGATTAAATGTTATTTACATACAAACTATAAGATTTTGTAATATTTTTAAGAGCTTTATCCCACCTGGCTTTGAGATATTTGAGAAATTATTAAAAAGAAACTTAAATCCTATAGCCTTATAGTAAAAAGAAAGAGGTGTAGACAAAAAATACCCCTTCCATACTGATGTTATACTGCAGAAATGATTTTTTTTTTATTTTGTTTCCATACTCCTGTGATAGGTGCCAGAGTTGGCAAACAAATGTTAATTACCAGTGTATGTCTCAGCAAAATTGAATGAAAATTAATGTTAATGTGGATTCACCTAAACTTTTAATATTGTTCCCCTGGAGGATCAAATTCAAATAGCTCCAGCCAGCAACCTTTGCAGAAAGAGGTTAATTTCTGATTCAAATGTGTAACTCCACACAGATAGATGTGTACACAGCTCGGGAGCAGACTAGCTGTACATTTATACTTGGGAGAAAAATACTCATGTAAAAAAAAAAAAAAAAAAGGAAAAGATTGAATAGTTTTCTCCTATCCTATCTCTGTCAGTGGAAAATGCAGGATCACTGGGACTACACCACTATATGAGAATTCCAGACAAATCACCCAAACTCTAACTTATATGCTTTCTTTAATTTTAAAGGCTTTGGAATAAAGTGAAATTTGAAGAGTTAATGAATTTGTTTAACAAAACTCTGTGGGAATGGTGATAGGCCACAACAGTAATGAAAAAAAAAAACACACGGTGACCCTGATTTTTCTCATATCACAAGCAGTTTACAGAAAGCACTGTTTCTAACTGTGTCCATGGAAGTTTACATTCTAAGTATTAAAAGCCTTTGCAAGGTGGAAGGAAAAGCAACACAAAAAGGTTATACTTTAGAAAAGAGACCATCGAGGTGTCAACCGGAAGCAGTCAAATATTGAGATCAGGCTGAAAATGCAGTCTGGGAGCCTTTTGAGGAGAGCAGATTTATTATGATTATTACAGTTTTCACATATTGCCAAAAGTACAGGGAAAATGAGGTCACAAGAGAGAAGAGGCACAAAACTGTGCTTTCTTTTATATGAAAATGACTCTCAAAGGCTTTCTTAAACAAGGGTGAAAAATTATGTACATATTCACTGAGCATTGCTTTAGGATCCCAAGCAGGAAAAGACAAGTAGCACATAACTGAGGATGACACGTAACCTTCCACAGAACATGATGATGTTTTTCCCCTGCATTTCATAGTGTGATGGCACACTCCTCAGGAATGCAGCCTAGGCTCCTTATACAGCTTAGGACTCCATGTCTTCAAAAAGAGATTCCTAGGGAGAGATATGGGGACGGTCTGTAAGTTCTTGTTCACCTGGTCCATACAACTCATGAAATAATTACTGTCTAATTCTCATCACAGTGACTAGGAGTAGACAATAAAAATACCAGCCAAAGCTTGTAGAATTAACAGAAGATAATATCTTTTTACTGAGGGCATATCTATTCTCTGGAACTGATTTTTATAACTTAGTGACTCTTGTGTGGTGAAAATATCACAGAGAAATCAGATCCATTTGGATGAAGGCTGCATAGGTTGTTAATCAGAGAACAGTATATATAGCCTTTAGCATTCCTAAGTGACTTATTCTTGGAAAGGGGGGAAAATTGCTAGTAGAATTATACTTACTGTCTTACAATGGAATCCTTCTTTAGCAGTCCCGGTCAAAAACTGGTCAGATGGACCTTTGCTCTCATCCAGTACAGCTCTTTTCCATTGACTAACCTTTCTCCTTGTGCTTTTATCCTGCCTTTTGTTTATTTTTGCTTAGGGGAGAATTTTTTAAGAAAGGGATGAAAATAGGTGTCCAGATCTCAGTGATTGCCAGTCATAGTGCATTTCTCACCTTTGAACTTTCTTCCGAAAGTTTTCCTTGATGAACAATTGTTATTAGGTCAAATTTGCTATAGTTGCTGCTTGTGTAATTCAACTTATCATTCCTTGTTTGAAATTTCAAGCTTAAATTTAGGATTGCTTGTAAGTACAAATAATGTCATAGAGAGCAAAATAAGAACTACATTTTTTGTCTAATAGCAATATGGCCATTCAGTCTGGCATTATAATTACTGCCTGTTTATTGACCCTTTCATTTTTTAATAAGAGTATCTATAATGTCCTGGAAGAGTGAAGTATAAAAAAGTCCACAATGGCCAGCAAAGAACCACATATTTATACTGAGCTGCTTGAAATGTTTTTGTTCATTGTTTTTAGTTGAAAGGTCTTGAAATAAATTGTTGTAAAAATGTGCTTGGGTAAACTTTTGAGAACTGAATGTCATTCTCTTTTAAATATTTCTGGCCTGGGAGAAGGAGGAAGACATGCTATTGACATGCAATGATTTTACAATGTTTTTTTGAAATATTTCTTTTTCAAAGTATTTTATCACAACAAATTTTTTTGAAAATATGGGATATTTTTCATAATTACGAGGCTTATTCTCCCAAGTTATTTATGCGTTTCTATTTCACAAGGATTTTAATTCAGCTACAGTCAACATTACAGGGGGAAAGTTCAGCAAATCATCTTGAATGCTAGTGCTAAAAACCCTTTTTAAAACATATTTAATCTACTTAATTTTAAATGTTTGCAGCTCATAAAATTTGATCTGGCAAATTTAGAATCCTTTTTTATGAGCTTTTGAGGAGAAACCACAGAGATTTAAAAAGGAAGACTTGGAGGGAAAAAAAGGAGTCATAGATATTTTCTCTGTTATGCAATATAGCCTCTCTGTCTTTAAAAACATCTGTGTCCCAATTTATCTCTAAATTATGCTTATTCAGTGTTTAATAGATTTCAAAACACTTTGCAAGAGGGATCAAAATTGTTATCAGATAAAAGACAAGGAAGTGATTTGTCCAAACTCTAGCACAGAATAGACGACACATCTCCTAAATTTAGTCTATTGGTCAAGTCACTAAATGGCACCAGCTTTCTGAATTGTCCTGTAAGTAAATTCCTCATTCTGACTCAGAAATATTGCAGTACTGTTAAACCCAGACTGAAGCACTCTCCTGTTTGGTAAGGGCAGGGGTTGGCACTCTGCAATGTGTCCGTGATATCTTATTGTGTCTGTGATACCTTATTGTGCAGTAAGGTAAGATTGGTTTGATTAAAAATATAAAATAGAGGTGCCTGATAATTCTGAGGAGTTAACAGTGGCTTATAGGCCCAGAGTGTCTGAAAACTCTCTATGTGTTTTTACACCTATGCATATGACTGTACATATATATGTCTATGTATGTGCACGTACATACAAACACGGATGTACAACATCATATAACAGAGTCATAAAAACAATGAGTGATATCTGTGGAGAAATTTGGAAGCCTCAACTGTAAATCTCAGTATAAGTCAAAAGGATTATTATGAAGTTAGAAAAGATGACAGAGGGTTATTTTTAATATAAAACTGTCAGTTTTATGCTAAAATCTAGTTTCAAATTTCTATGACAAATCTATCATTGACAGTTTTACTTTTTTTGTGATAACTCTTAGAATTTCTGACTTTTTTTGACTATTTTTTTAACTTCTTTTGAGGTTGTTGAGACACTGTTAACTGTGGTCTGCTTTTAGGATTACTTAGAGACATATTCTGTTCCTCTTTAGAATAAAAAAGCCAAAGTATAGTCACTCTTCTTCCAGGAACTCAAATCCCAGTTTCCCTAGTCTGAAGACACCATTGTCTTTTGAGATCACTTTTAAAACAATAGCACCCTGAGGCAATGGGCCAGAAGCAATAGTGTCTGCAATTAGTGTCACATTCAATCCAGACCAGGAGTATAATGTGTTTTGTTTTTACAGAAACCTTATGGGCTATGTAACTCAATTTTATGATGATGTTTTAAGAATTCCCCAGTCATATACCCTGAAAAGGTCTGTATGCTCATTAAAGAAAGGGTCTTATAGTATCTTAAGGAATGTGGACAGAAATTAAATATACGTTTAAAGTCACCTGCCAGAGAAATTTAGCATTTTTAAAAAAAGAAAATTTGGTGGTGAAATAAGAGAGTAATATTTCAGTGGAATAAAGCAGTGGCTCTAGAGACATTAGTATGTTAAGATGGCAGTACAAAGAACAGGTTAATTTCTATTATTGATAGATTATTTTACCTGCTATGAAAGCTAATGTTTTCCATCATGATTTCATTCTGTGAACACCTGTGCAGAAATTGCTTTTTCCCTTAAAGGGTAAAGACATTTTAAGCAGCAGATATCAAGTGCAGAAGCAGCAAATTATAGACTTCTAGAATGAAATTCTGGCCCTAGACAAGATAGGGTAGAAATTACTTCAGTGGAGACTACATTAACCCATGTTCTTCAAATACAGAGGAGGCTTTTACAACAATTGAGGCTGACCCTACTTGTAATGAAAGTCCAGTTTCTGTATCAAGCCCAAAACATCTACACTTGCCTAAATGATAGGCTTCAGAATCTGCTGACATTTTTGCTGAGCAGTGGCTAATTGGTTCAATTGTTAATGATTACCACTAGTGATGGCATTTGCCTTAATGGACTTTCAACATTTTCATGTGGAGCTTCATCTGATTTAGCTATCGCTTCTGAAACTCTCTGTGGGTTTATCTATGCTTCTGTGAATATCCTGGCCTCTCAAACTCTCTAACTGTTTCTGCCCTTCCAGTGCTCAGGTACTCTCAGGGAAGGAGCATCTTCTCTCCTCAAGACTCTACCTGATCCAAGGTGCAACACCCGAAGTCATGCTTAGTGTGCAGAGCCAAACAAGGGCATGCTGTTCTGCATATCCCAAAGTGGGTATATTTTCGTTTAAGCCTTACTTTGGTTGCATTTCACATTGTCAAACTTTCTTGTCCCTTGTCCTTATAATTGTAGCTTTTGGTTGTGACTTTCACAGCCAAATGCCAACAGATAAATAATACCTTTTGGTATGACTCCTCCTGTGAGGACACTAACAGCACAGGAATTTAAATACTGGGAACCAAAAAATTAGCCATGGAGAGATGGTGCACAACTTTTAAAAGCATTTTTCAGAGGTATCTGACTCCTTAAATAATCTTATACGCTCATAGAGCAAAGTCAGGCAAGTTAGGTCAAACATTTTCAATGATGGATTAATTAGCCTGTGTCATTATTTTGAGTGGAAATAGGTTAATAAACACTCAACAATAAAAGCATCTTCCATATCTGAGTTCCCAGCTCTGTCATGGTAACTGACTGTACTTCTAGTCCATGGTTTAAGAGACCTAATTGAGGTTGCACTGAAATGAACAAAAGAAAAATTACCATGCTGTGTACTCAGTTGGAACAACTTAACTAGAAAGTCCCCTTTGAGTATTGAAAGGTCTACCCAGAGCCTTCTCTTCTGCAGGCTGAATAATTCCAACTGTCTCAGCCTATGTTCATAGGAGCTACAGCTTTCTTTTTTTGAGGCCTTCTCTGGACTTGCTCCAAGAGGTCCATGTCCTTCCTGTGCTGAGAACCCCAGAATTGGATGCTGTACTCCAGGTGGGATCTTACCATCTCCCCACAGTGGAGTAGAGAGGGAGAGTCACCTCCCTTGACCTGCTGGTCATGCTACTTTTTATGCAGCCCAGGATTTGGGGCTGCAAGTGCACATTGCTGACTCATGTCCAGCTTTTCATCAACCAGCACCACTAAGTCCTTCTTGGCAGGGCTGCTTTCAATCTGTTCCTCCCCCAGCCTGGACTGATACTTGGGGCTGCCCTGACCCAGGTGCAACACCTTTCACTTGTGCTTGTTGAACTTCAGAATACTCCCATGGGCCCACTTCCTGAGCTTGGCCAGGTCCCTCTGGATGGCATCCCATCCTTCAGATGTGTCAACTTCACCACTCAGCTTGGTATTGTCTGCAAACTTGCTGAGGGTGCACTTGATCTCTTTGTCTATGCCATTTATCAAGATAATAAACAGTACTGGTCCCAGTACAGACCCCTGAGTGACACCACTTGTCACTGAAGTCTGTCTGGACATTGAGCCTCTGGATGTGACCATCCAACTAGTTTCTCATCCACTGAACAGTTCATCCATCTCTCTCCAATTTAGTTGTGGCAGACCATGTTAAAAGCCTTACAAAAGTCCAAATTAAATGCTTGAAATTGTTTAAAGAAAAAAAATGTCAATGCTAAATAGAGCTCAGTAGTGAAAACACTTTTTTTGTTTTACATATTGGGAAGCTTTTTTTTTTTTTTAACTTTTTAAATTGATATTTCTTCTTCTTTCTAGGTACTTATATCACATTTTAAGGTTCTTTAAAACAAGGAGTGAAAATGAAGTAGGAAAACTCCTGTCTGACAAGCAATATATGAGTTCATTCATTTGGCATTCTGGAGGACACTTATGAGCAGTCCCAAGAATATATGCAAGAACTAGTTACTACACAAATGCACTGTGAAATGAGCTGCATTTATTTGTCATTTATTGTGTTCAGTGATCAGAAAATGTGTTCATTTTCAGGAACCTGCTGATTGTGTCCACTGTTGATAAAGTTAACATTACACAGATGTTCCTGGTACTGCTTCAGAAAAAGGTCAGCTATATCTTTCTCATAGACTTAAAAAATGACATCAGCAGAGATGCTAAAGGTAAGTCACTGTCAAAGTAAGAAATTAGCTTCTTTAAAAGATTTTAATGATTCACAGTCTTGTTTTTATTTCTATTAAAGGGCGTTGTTGCTTGTAATTTCCCACTGGAGACAAGAACACGATGAAAAGCAAAGGACTTACTTACTTTAGTGATAATACAAGCAACTTAGGTTGTATGTGTGTTAGCTTTTTTTTTTACAAGACTCAAGAGGAGCAAAAAAGTAATGTATCATAGCCTCAAGGGAAAGCAAACCAGCTGTCAGCTTGAAGAAAATTTTCATTAAATTATTTCATATAAAGCTTTTGTTAGACCTCAAGTGCAAAGAAGCCACAACATGCCTTTGCATACACAGATGCTATTACAAATCATCTCTGCACAATTATTTATGTACAGCGTGGACCTATCTCATGAGTTGTATCCATGGTCCTACCTCAACTCGCTAAATTAAAAAGACCCCTACTCTCTCAGTTACTACCAAATAGCAGTATCCTCAGTAAATTTCCTTGGTTTTCTGTCCCTCACTTAGCCATACCATTCTTCTGCTTTAGCACTTTTTTACACACTGTGAACAGTCTACAGCTCTGTGCTTGCTATCACTTTTTATTCCAGTTTTTCATTCCCATAAGCAAATTCACCAATCAATGAGCAAAACCCCAAGGTGATACAAAGCAGATATCTTCTAAAAATAAATAAAATAAATCCCGATCATCCGCATCCTTAGTTTCTTGAACACTAATCCATACAAAGTACCCTATAGAGGTGATTCCTTTCAAAATGAAAAGCTAATCTTCTGTTTCCATTCTGTAAAGGATTTGTTCTGATATATGTTCAGCCTTGCCTCAAGCATATGTTTCTTCTCATTTCCACTTACAGATATTTTTCCACCCTAGATGAACCAAAACCCATGTAATGATGCAATCCAGAGCAGAGAGGTTTTCATTCTGTATGTCTTCAGCTTTATATTGTGTTCTGGGGAGCCACAGGTTAAGATTTCATCCAGGCCAAGTGCCTGGTCTGCCTTCAGCAAGACTTCTCACAGGCAGTTACAACTTCCTTGTGGACATCTTTTATCATATCTTCCAAGTCACGTGCACTGCATGCTATTCCTGAATCTACCTGGGAATGCGCTCCTGTAAGGCCCATGAGCATGGTACCATGCATCTCAACATAGCCTGGACAGTAGATCAAATGAGGTGATTCTGCCCCTCTACTCCTTCTCTGGTGAGACCCCATCTGTGGTGCTGCACCCAGCTTTGGGGTCCCCAGCACAGGAGGGATGTTAGCCTGTTGGAGCAAATCCAGAGGCTGGCCACCAAGTTGTTCAGATGGATGGAGCACCTCTCCTATGAGGAAAGGTAGAGAGAATTTGGATTGTTTAGCATGGAAAAGAGAAGGCTGCATGGTGACCTAATTGTAGCCTTACAGTACTTGAAGGGAGCCTACAAGGAAGATGGAGAGAGACTATTTACAAGGGCAGGTAGTGACAGGACAAGTGGGACTGTCTTCAAAATGAAAGAGAGTAGGTTTGGATTAGACATTAAGAAGGAATTCTTTACTGTGAGGGTAGTGAGACACTGGAACAGGTTGCCCAGAGAAGCTGTGGGTGCACCATCCCTGGAGGTGTTTGAGGCCAGGTGGGACAGGGCTTTGAGCAATCTGGTGTAGAAGAAGATGTCCCTGCCCACTGAAAGTGGGTTGGAATTAGGTGATCTTTAAGGTCCCTTACAACCCAGGCTACTCTGTGGTTCTATGATACCTTGTATCAGTCTGCCACAAAAGGCCCTTTGCAGGTCATGCTGAAACATATCTTAGACAATGAGTTGCATTTCAGAAATCTACCACTCATCAGAGCCATGCATAATCCATGATTAATGAAAAAAGTAATTGTTCAGGAGATGATGCTTGCATTTCAATAACTGTATAGGCCATTTTCCTGCTAGGCTTTCTCAATTGCTAAATATTTTCTTCTCGTGCTGTAACAATCATGTGTTCAGTACTCTTCCCAGCAGCGTGAAGGCTGCTTGTTCGTATTTCCAACACTTCTCTTTTGTGTATGTCCAATTGAACAACTCAGTGTGTAGAGGTGGAACTATGTTTCTCTATGAGCATCATAAAAGTTGATGCTCAGGTCACCCTCTAAACTATCATTTTCAGGACCCTAATGAAGTTTACTGCCAGGGTAGCTAGGGTGAAAATGTTCCAAATAATCTGTCTAAATTATTCTTACAATATCCAAAAATAAAACTACCTGTCTTTTTTTTGTTCTCAGGATTGCACAATGAGATAAGTCAGCAACTGAGTCAGAAAAGGGCTATCTCACAAAGAAGGGTAGCACATTAATCATGTTGACAGTGAGAGCTGTGCTCCATAGATAGCAGCTCTATGTTTACTGCCATTACAATTGGTACTCATCATTTTAGGTACAGATTGCATCCTTGTCTAAGGAGGCAGCTGTTCACAGACCAGTATCCTGAGCCAGAACGCAATCCATAAACTTCTGAAAGAGGACCATCCAGACCCAAAAAGCATCCTTTGGAAGTGGAACAGGTCATCCAAGGATTTTGTTTTATAACCATGGAACTGGATCTTCCACAACTTTTCCAAACATATGACATTCAATTTTTCTGAATCAACAGCAAAACAATTTATTCCACCTTTATTTTGCAGATTTCTGCATTATCTTGAACCATGAGCTCCTATGCAAAGACTATAATTACCCAGGCTCCACAAGGGCTGAAGTGCACTGCCATTTGCCAAGCACTGGTAAATGTATTGCCTGTCTCAGTTTGGGATTTGACAGAGCTGTTACTGTTTAGGCCACACAGGGCACTTCTGTGGTGAAAGCAGAAGCTTTCTCTGTACAGGGCTGCAGAGAATCAACCTCTGTTTGGATTTGTGTTAATGTGATGGGCTGATATTTAGAATAACTTATTGATTGTAAAAAGGAATTCCAAAAGCATCAGCAAGACATGTTTCTGCTCACATCCAAGTGACCTAGTGTAGCCTCCTTCAGGCAGTCAAATACCATTTCCTCACCCACCTGAAAGGCAGACTGAGATTTGCCTATCCATGAGAGAAGTAAAGATACAATCTCTTGCACACAAGGGTCTCAAAAATAAAGGATACTCGTGTTTTTATCTTCTATTCTCTCGGAGTAGGCATG